TTCAATGATCTAATTTTCTCATGTCTGCCTTGTTACAGTACTTTGCATGGCGTCAGGTGTGAATTGTAGCTTTCTAAACCATGTATGCCTCTCATAAAATGCACGCATGCGTGTGCCCACACATACACACACACAGTCAGAGGAGAGCTTTTAGTGCTGAGAATCAGGGAGACAATTACAAAGCAATATCCAAGCAGATACTCGCTGGCTCTCACAGGGAATTTGGCAGCTCTCTTGGAATTGATAGCTATTTAGCTCACAGATAGTAATCTGTTTTAATGCATTAATTTTGTATTAACAGCACTGCCAAATTTAATGGTGGAAATTAGGCTATGATCATAATGGCATGTGACTGTGTGAGTGTGTTTTTGTGTGTCTGTGTGTGAACAGTCCTGATGCTCTTTTTTGTCTATACTTTTTGCATGTGTTTGTTGCAGGCGCGTGCTATATTACCGGCTCCTTTGGGAGCCATTCTTTGAAATTACCGGCTTTCTTTCTCCCTTCCACCCTTCCAGTAATACCCCCTTAATCTTGTATTAGCTGGACTCTCCCGGCAACCACACTATTCTGTGTTAAAGGTGCACTTTTACTTTGCATTTAAGTGGCTGGAAATGCAGATGTATGCCGTGCCCTGGGTGGGCGTCGTAACTGATACAGGCGTGTGTGTGCCCACTCAGAGGGCAAGGAGCAGCGTGGAGTTGTGAGAGAGAGGATGGGGTGGTGCCCACACCGCCCCTGTCCCTCTTTACCTGAAAAAGCGCAGAGCACTGCTTCAGCCTCCACAATGAGAGATGAGGGCCTTCATCAGGGAGAGAGGTTTAAAACGCCTCGATTGCAATTTTAGACCATGAAGATAAAATAAAGCTGAGAACCGGACCTTTTACCACTATGAACACCTACGGTGCCTTGCAAAAGTATTGACACCCCTTGAACTTTTTGTTACAAGTACTGTGCAAATGCCGGTACCTTACCGGGAGTTTATTTAATAGACTACTAAGAGTAGTACATAAATCTGATGTGCAAAGAAAGAGTGAAATGATGCAACAAGAAACCTGGAAGCTGTGGCATTCATTTTTCTTCAGTCTGCTTTGATCTTGCAGCTCGTAATAAAAATCTAGTGTAGTCAGTATGAATGCAGCTGTTTTGGTTCTGGAATCTGTTGTGGTCAGATCAAGAATTAACTTTTTGTTCCACATGCAGAGTTTCCCTTCCCATCGGTGGAAGGGAAACTAAAGCCACACATCGCTGTTGACACAGACTCTCACTGTGAAACATGGCAGTGGCAGCATCATGCTGTGTGGATGTTATTCTTCAGTAGGAACAGGAAAGCTTGAGGACTGGAAATAACTAAAAATCAGAATAAAATTGATACTCTCAGACAAATTCTCCAGTCTGACTGAGATCATGCTGTTTAATAAAAGGATGAAGGATAACCTTTAGATGTGCCAAAATAGACAAACTACAATAGACATAAAATTGTAAGTTCAGCAGAGGGTGTTTCTATGAAATATTGACTCAGGTGGCTGGATACAAACGCATGCCACGCTTTTCATATTTCATTTCAGAAAAAAAAAAAAAAAACTATTTTGAAAAGCATTAATTATTTTTTCTCCAGTTTTTCACTATGCACTTCTTCCATTAGTTTGTCACCTAAAATTACAACAACACTCCAAGTCATGATTGTGATTTGATGAAGGGTAAAGGAAATACACTTTCGTGAATAGCGGTTGAATGTTTTAAGATTCTTGTTTATGGACTAATATGTAGAGTTCTGTCCCTTTCCATTAGCATAAATTACATTTTGTTTAAAATAATTGTCACCAATCAACTTATCGTTGCGAACATGTTTTGTTTTACACATATACTGTTATTATGCTTTTAGTATGTCTCGCTTTTGTTGCTTTACAGCCGGTCTTGCATTAAAATCCCTCAGCTGCACACCCGCTACTTAAATGCGGTAAGTGCTACTGAAATCACTGCAACCGAGGCAATCAAGCGCCCACACCCCCGCCCCAAAGCACCACGGCACCCCTCCTGTTGGGGCCTTGATAGGGCAGTAAGAGACCCCAGAGTCAGGCAGCACAAGTCCTCCTAGGCCAACATGACTTTTTCATTAAGCTGCCAAATTCCTCCTCTCGAGTTGGAGGTGATTTATCAACCGGGGACTTCATTGAAGGTTCATAGGAAACAGACACAAGCCCCGTCTCATGCATTATTATGTTTCACATTCAAAGTGTGGATGTCTGAGTGAGACCTGGAGCTGGCCTGAGAGAATATCCAATATATATTTGTGCTTTTAGATGTGATCCCAGGAATCTCGCATGGATAATTCAAGGAATCAGAGGAAGCTTGTGAGCGTGATGATCAGAGGGGCTGCTGGCTGTCTCTGTGCCGCTCTCTTATGCAATACACAATTATGCCTAAGACTTAGGTCCTGAATGCTAAATGAGCAGAGACCACCTCGCTCTTCATTAGGCATGATTCCCTTCCTGTTTCACTGACGCAGGAATGCCCCAGACTGCTGCAGGTCACGGCCAATGCAGAGATGGTGAAAGTGTTGGTTTACAGGTGTAATCATTTGAGATAGTAGACAGAGCTACAAGCAGCAGGGCAGGCTGCTTTTGGCCCCACTGAGACCATCTCCCTGACCAGTCAGGGGTGAATTATGGTCGATTGCGGGGCAGGCGTTCTCGAGTTCACTCCTATATAAACCTTGTGCTTTTTATGGGGAACTATAAAACTCCCAGGATTCCCCCCCCCACCCCCTTCCTCATGAGACTGGCTTTGAAGTTGCAGTCAGGTGCTGTCATTTTTTAAAACTTGTCTTCTCGTAGATTTTTGGAGCCTTGAGTCATTTGCGGCAGCAGCCCTTTTTAATTCAAGACATCTGCTGCGACTAAAAGCAATTTGACTGATTTGCTGTCATCTATAACTGAATCTGTCTCATATTTCCCTCTACCTTATTTCTGATGCAATATTTGTGTAGAGCGCAAAAAGGAGGAGAAGGAGGAGGGCCCCCACAGTACCCAGCAACACCTATTCATGACATCATGGATGGCTTAAAACGAGGCGAGAAAGGAGAGCACACAGAGCTTTTTACAATCACCTAATAACTCTATTACACTGAGCTGTGGGGCTCACAAAGAGGAAAAAAAAATCTCCTATTCCTTTTCCTGGAAGCGGTGTCTTAATGCACATTTTAGGTGTAGAAGTGAGAAATGTGAAACCAAAAAGAATGAAACACAATAGCTCAGAAAACCCCATGGCAACATTACAATATTGCCAGAAAATTAAACATTAGGAGAAAGGGACAAAAGCATTTTAGGAAGGCATAATATTGTTATGACTCTTTTTTCTGTACCAGGCTGTCAACACCTGATTTGAAGGTAATGCAGTTAAATGTGTGATATTTCCATTGCTTTTACGTCTTACAGCCAACGGAACGGGCCATCTAGTTCAGGAGAGGGTAGCTCAATTTCCTTTTCATAAGTAGAACCATATTCTGATCATGCAGGTGAACATTTAGGGCAAATAAAGTTAGAAGATTATATTCTGAAGGTGTGGGGTGAAAAATACTCAGCAGTCAGCTAAAAGCAGTCGATTTGTTCTCTAAGCTTAATCGTACCCAGGCTTAGGTTTCCACAAACCATTTTAGTTGGTTTTAAAGTCGTGGTGCGTTCCATGTCCTGTTCGGTTTTTCTTTCATGTCTGTTAATAACTTGTTTGTTTAACCATCCCCTTCAAACACTGGACATTAATGGGATACAACGTTGACCAGTCTTTGTCTTAATTTGTCCCAGAAAAATAGATGGACATTTTTTTTTTACTCTTTTAGCCAATAAGCTCACGGTAATAAGGCATCATTTTAGAAGTTTTTAGAATTTAAAAACTTTGACTTTTCAAATCATTCAAAAATAACTGGAACATGATGACGTTAACAAAGATATTTTCCCCTCTCAAAACGTGGCGCACACTACATACACAGGAGTCGAGAAAATTAAAGGGAAGAGAGGAAAACTTGGGAGCTGACATTGATTCTATCCACAGAAATCCACAGCAAGACATCCCAGTTTCATACGAGTATGACAAATGACAGGCGTGACACATACAGAGTGAGGGACTTTTATTGCATACATGCATCAGTGTGATGCTTTAGGATAATGGTCAATAACTCCGTTGCTCACACCAGGCCCAGCCATATTGTGTTGGCCTTGCATCATTGATTGAGTCATGCAGGAGGTAATTAGATTGGGGCTTGGCGGTGTGACGAGTGGTTGTGGTGGCACGGTGTCACTATGGGGTGTTATGCATGTTGTGACTCTACAGAGGGACAGGCTGGAGGCCGGACAGGGCGTGCTGTTAAGTGTCGGGGTCAATACCGATGCCGATTTTCTGTTTTGCGAAGATTGTCCTCCTGTTGGGGAATGTTCTGTTTTCCCTCAGATTGCACTCAGTCCCCCCCCCCTCCTGCCTCGCCACAAGCTGACTTTGCCTCTGTTTCTCTATGAGAGCGAGAATTTAACTCGCTATGATCAATATTTAGTATCCCATGCGTGAAACAGGCAGATGTTTGGAGTTTCCTTTTTCAGAGACGGGAAGCTTCTGTTGAGTGAAGGGGATCAATGCTTCCTTCCGTCTGTGAGGCTGCGGACCCGCGGCTTCTGAAGGATGGCTGATGCTATTCCTGCCCACCCTTGGGCCCCCTGAGATTTGCGTGCCTCCCTGGCTTCTCCTGTCCTGTTAGCCCATGAAACAGACACTCACTCAGACAAGTGTGCAGTCCAAACAGTTGTCTTGAAGTGAAAGAGGTCTGGATGTTAAACAACGGGCCCGTGATTGGGAATTGATTTGTTCATTTGCCAGCTGTGTGAGTGAAAGTGAGTCGGTGGTGCCTGGCCAGCTATCTGCCATCCACAATAACTTCTTTCTTCTCTCTCCTTCTCGTCTCTCTCTCTCTCTCTCTCTCTCTCTTGCTCCGTCGTCCTTCTTTCCTCCCTCAGCACCTGCAGCAGCACGAAAATGCGGTGGAGGGAGATGCCTGCTACTACCACTGCGTGCTGTGCAACTACTCGACCAAGGCCAAACTCAACCTCATCCAACACGTGCGCTCTATGAAGCACCAACGCAGCGAGAGCCTCAGGAAGCTTCAGCGCTTGCAGAAGGGCCTGCCGGAGGAGGACGAGGACCTCAGCTCCATTTTCACCATCCGCAAATGCCCTTCTTCAGACACAGGTCAGGACATGACCTTTTGGCTCTTTACGTGTGAATTTCTTTGTTTTTTATTCTTTTATGCAGCTTTATTCATGAACTGTCATCAAGTGGCTCAGTCAAGAAGCTTCATATGTCCTATCTGACGCGCGCACCTGAACCTCTCGATTTTCGTGTTACTGTTTTTGTTTACTTGAATATTCCTACTTTTGGACAGCCCTTTTACCCTGATTGAACTAAATGGCAAAAATAAGCAAAAATAAGCATAACTTTTTTTCCATTCAATTTTTAGCTGCAAATATGATTTGCTACAAAATATTCCTGCCAAGGCACAACTCCCTGTTAATGGAAGCTGTCCCTTTTTAGCCATTAGAGACACATTAAGATAGAACATTATGTATGGAGAAGGAGACGCTGAACAACAGCAGTGGCTTTCTAAACAAGTACACCAAAAATCAGACACTGCCTCAACTGTAGCTCGGCAAAAACAAAGTGACTCCACTGTCCATTTATTACGGACTGATTAGGAGGAGTGAGCTGTGGTCAATTAACACGCTTTCTTAGTAGAGATTTGGTTTTCTAATCACTTTAAGTTCTGTGTCTTGACAAAGGGCCTCTATTGTGTGTCCCTCCAAGAAGGAACCATTTACTTCCCTCGCACACATACTCGCTGTCTGTGTTATGTGGGTGAAAAAAAAAGGGGCCAGCCTGTGAAGACGCTTTGTTCCAAGGAGGCAGGGATAATGAAGCCAGCGGCCGGGAAATTGCGCAAAAGGCAGTCACAGATCTGAAGCAAATCATTAGAGAACATATTTAGCTGAGCAATTAGGGACAATTAAGCTTTCTGCTCACTGCACTCCAAATATGTTAATGACTACAGTACAGTGGACAGGCGAACATGCAAAGGCAAGAGGAAGGGGCATTTAGGTTAAAAGGGATGGGGGTAGGGATTTTTTTGTTTTTTTTGTTTTCAGGATAGAAGAGTTGTGCTGTTTGCAAATTGTTTTTAGTAAATGATAGGCCATTTACGTCGTCCTCTTCTTTTTTTTTTTTTTTTTTTTTTTATTTTTCCGTCTTAGATGGCCATATCTGTGTCCAAATTAGGAATTCAAGCCTTGAGTCAGGCAGTGTGCATTACACATGTACAAATGCTTACAGCCCTTCAGAACCTCATCGGATTACAAGAACCCTCACTTACTAAAACAGACCACTGGAACCTTTTTCCTGTCAGGGTGTTTAAAGGTTCACCATGCAGTTTGATAATGACTCAAGGACAAAATTAATTGTAAAGCCTGTCCTTTTTTTTATAAGACCTACAGCTTTACTATAGTGTTTAATTATTCGAGGGAGTACACACTGGCTTAGATGTATCAATGACTAAATGTTTCCTTCATACTTTGTACTGAATTTCCACATGCCAACTGGACTTTCAGTGAGAATAACTAGAATGTTATCAAAAGTAACATTCCAAAGTGATTATTATTATGACTTTCTTTTTTTCTTTTTTTTTTTAGAAATTTTGAGTTTCAAGAATCTGCATGGACTCAAAAAAGTTGCTTCTCATGTTTCTCTATCTGGTTAGTTTTCTGTTGACACTATTGACACACATCAATCAGGTGCTGAAAGTGTTACTGTCTGAAAACCCCAGTGAGTGCTGTTTGGGATAAATCACTTCCTTTGTTCTTTTATATGCTCATGTTTGTGAGTTTTAAGTTGGTATTGTTGCCACCTATTGGCAGGGCATGGGCACTCCATCATTTTGGGACAGAGTATCTGTTTCTGATCCGGTCAAACATTCTTTTCCAATTAGGGAAATGATCCAATGAAGATCTTCTAGTGGTAACATGATTTAGACACTTACTACTCGTTTTACTTTTCAGTCTTTGTCAGAAATATTTTGTCTAAACATGTACAAGATCAGTGTAAATTGTTGTAGTCATGTTTTTTAGCAGTATCCATCTTGAACTTCAGATATAAGCAGTTGTAGTAAAATTACCATAATGAGATTAAAATTTAATTGTCTTGCTTTTTTAATATAAAGCTTTACTAACTGTTTCTATCCTCTTGAAACAATAAGATTTTAGTAAATTAGCATTTCTCCCCTAAATTCAAACCGTTCATCCAAACTTGAATTTTGTAGTTGCAAACTGTTATTGTGGAAATAATTAGATTTGATTAAAATTAAATAAGTAAACGAATGCAATTTCCCAGAATAAAGACTTTTAAAAGGCCAATGTTTGGTGCATGTAGACACATGTTATTTACAACATAGGAAAAAAACTTTTAGCAATACCCTTGAAGAAATATAGTTGTGATATTTATTTTACTCTTCTGCTTTCCAAAACTATGATCAAATTCAAGATCAGTGACTGTGACCCAGTATTATTTACTGGAGTCAATTATTTAGCAACACCCCTGTTTGGTTTACACAGTGAAAACATACTTATTTTGATTTAAATTACCACAGTGACAGTCTTCAACTGTAATATCCAAAAGTGCTTACTTTGCACTTTCTTCTGGATAGCCACAGCTGTGTAGTTTGCCTTGAAGCAGCATCCTCTTTTCTGAGCCTGAGCCTTTCCTTCTTTTGAGCAATACTTCATTATTCCCTCTCTGTCACTTATTTTAAACTTCTGTCTTTTGTATTTCTGGTACAGTTGCTACAGTGGCTGAACACTAACTGGTTTCTGAGCTGATCAAGGATTTTTGAGTCATCTATTTGGGTCTTATTACTTTCTGGTTTGATCTAGGAACTCTTTCTCTGCCGGTTTAGGTTTATACCTCACTTCCTCAGATAACCTTCAAAATAAAATAAAAAATAATCATTTATTATCAAACACATGTTGCAAATATTGACAGGAGGTAGGAAATCTCTTACTTTTTTTTAACAACAAAGGCATAATTCTGAACTAAATCACTGAGCACTATGGGTATATTACTTCTTTCCACATTGTGGCTTCTCATGAGGATGCAGCAAATATGGACAACAGGAATTTGGAGCCTCAAATCCCCACTGAGCATAAAGTCCAAAGAAGGCAAGGATAGCAGAACTTTTATTTTTAATTAGAAAATACATGCACAAAAGTCCCGGCATTGTTTTCATTCTTGCATATACTATAAATGTGCTGCTGAGGCATGTTGCTCTGTGGCCCCACCTTCATTTGTTTTCTTTAACCCTTTATCTGTGGCGAAACAAAGGAAGTCTCCAAGGGACCTCAGCCCCACACATCTGCCATGTGTGCAGAGGTCACTGAGTAAACCTCGTGTTTGACTTAAACCAAGACACCCGCACTAATCTGTAGTTTTTAAGAAAAGTGGCTCAATGTGAACAGATACTCAGAGAAGATGGCGACATGCATGGGACACATTCACGGGTGATGACAGGTGCTCCTGGAGCCTGAGAGCAAAATGTGTTGTGCATTTAGATGTTCAGTGGAAAAAAAAAAAAAAAAAACAGCGAGGCAACCGGTGCTAGATGTCATCTTTCCAGGCTCTCTACATAGAAAGTCATATGGACACTCAGAATAAAAATGGATGCAAATCCAGATGGAAAAACATGTTTGGGTAGCTCCTATTTGAGAACTATTGGCACACTCCCGCCTATAATGACTCTATTTCAATCGAATGATACTCCCAGGGCATATAGCTCTGTGACACATTGGGGTTTCGTCGCACTTAATCAAATACAATTTTTTTTTTTTAACATAGAGCAGAATGAGAGCATGACTTTAAAAAGGGCAAAGTGAACTGAAGAGTGACGCTTGGTTTTTGCCTGCCTACGAAATAGACGAGGAGACAAAAGCAGGGGCGCAGAGTGTTTGAAGATGGTGAAATATTAGTATTTTTCTGGTGTGTGTGTGTATAAATGTGCGTTTTTATGCATGTGTATGAAGGAGGCAGAGATGGAGAACAAACGTGGCTGACAGTGAGGATTAGCTCCTGCTGTAAATCTGCCTCAGTCACAGATGGCAGGCCCTTGATCGCTGGGCTGTGACGGCTTGGCTCTCTTCGCAGAAGGAAATCCCTGTCTGCGAGTCAGAGAGGCTGGAAAGGAGAGGAACAGGGCTGGGGCCACCTGGGAAGTCACCAGTCATTGTGTCTTGTCTGAGTGAAAGTAAATACTTGAGCGTTCTAAGTTAAACAATTGTTTTTGGAAGTGTTATTCTTCCGTTTGTTACACATACTGCTATGTAGTTCTTCTAATTGAAGCGTGAAGCCCCCAAGCTGGATCAGCATCTCTTCGTTTGCTACTTTTAGAATCTGTCTACATGCCTGCAAACATGACTGCCTTTTTAATGTCATGCGTAACATTTAATGACCAAGAAAGCAGATTTCTGAGATCTCTGTTTCTTTAAATAAGCTGTAAGTTAGCTCAAAAACCGTGCCTGTCGAATGCTAGACTAAGATTCGACCATCCAAGTCCAAGAGGCTACACGTTACTTTTAAGAAGAGTTTTCTTAGAATTCCAAGATTGCTTCTTTCATTAAAAATATGTTCTGAAAGTATTTTAGTTTAAATATGAGTCTTTAATACAGTGTTAGATGTTTTTCTTTCTTATAGGAAACTGTTGTGTGTGCCAAGTGTGATACTTAAGTATTTAGGTGTAATTCATGAGTCAGCTGTTTTTAGTGAATTTCTGCAATAAGTTTCTCTTAATGCATACGATTCTGACTTTTTTGTTTGACGAAAATCTTATGAATGCATGACTATAAAGGCCGAACGTTACAATGAATGAATGATACAAAAAGGAAAGTATTTTGGGTTTTGTTTTCTTAATGCCTGCAATAAACCGGTTTTTAATGTAGAACTTTATCCTATTTTTATAGCAGACAATAAATAGAATAATCCTTAAAGATGAAAAAAAAAAACTGATGAATGTGGAAAATAACTTTACAAAGCATAGATGACAAATTAGTTTTTTTTTAATGGTACTTAATTGACTTACAAAATCTAATATACTGATTATCCTACTGTTTCATCTTCTGCTTCTGGTCATTTTTGCACCAGATCAAAGATGAGGGTTT